CGTGGTGAATATATAGTTGCAATAAAGATGCTTTGGAAACCTTCTAGGTTGTGGTCTTTTACTTTCAGCCTCGAGCCAGGTATGACTTAAAAAAAAGAAAGAAACTGGGGCCTGTTTCTCAATGGTCCTGATAAAATCGGCTAAGAAAAGTTTCAAGTTTGCAGTATTCATCGGGGCGGCACCCAACAACGGTTTTCCTCCTAAATTCACTAAAAACACTTTTTGGCTATCCAGGGATGAGAGTACTTTTTAAATATCAGAAAAGCATTCTAAGTGGTGGTATAAAATTGTATGGGTTAGATCATCCTTGGGGAACTTGAGTCTTCTCGAAATTACGAGGAATTCAGACAGTATTATTTTCCCGATAATTTTATAATTATGCAATTTAACGTATTAAGAAAGTGAGAATTTTTCTGATTCTCTTTCCATTTCATTTTTAAGTCCAAAAAGATTAGGCTTCCTTTTTTTCTAAGAAAAACTAGCCTAAATTTGATGGGAAATGAAATGTGTCAAAATTAAACTTTAGAAAAATGTAGGGAAATTAGATAAGCTTCGAAAATTGTACATGAATGGAAAGATTTTTATTCATGTCTTCACCCTGACATGTTCCCGTGACTGAAGCATATATGGCTCTACGTTTGAAGATGCAATTGAAAGAAGTTAGAACTGCCAAATTAATTCTATTCTCTTTGACGAAATGCGAGTTATTAAAACAGTACTTTAAAGAATTTTTAGGCACCAGTAGCCACTTTTTATTCATCATCTCAGCTGGCCGCATAACATGTATTTTCCTTTGATTAACCAACTCACCGCTTCATCACCACAGTTAACAGAGAAGTTAACCCTCCATTTTTTCAGTAGCACCCATTTTTGGGCTTTTTGGATTTGCGCCGGATGTTGGTCAAACTTATGATGATCATGACAAGGGGTTCTTTAACAGGTAAAAAATTCGCAACCGGCGTTACATACGCGAGCGGTACTGTAAATACAACACAATACAATTCAATACAATACAATACAATTCAATACCGTACCGCTATCTGTTGTGACACTTTTCTGGAAACCTTAGACACGTCATAGTTGTCAAACTTACCTGGTCGTCAATGTTCACGCCAAGCATCTCCAAATGAGGAGTTATGGGAATGATCGTAATTTTACACCTAAAAGTCGGTTTGTTTTGTGTTTTACTTATAAAAATGGCTTGGTATTTTGAATTGTTTCTTTTATTAAGACCGTTCAGATCGTACCATTTGTCTACCAACGCAAGATCTGAGTTGATTGCCCTTTCCACCTCTGTATGGGCATAGACAATGTTTGTGTCGTCGGCATAGCTGAAAAGATTGCACTGTTTCACAACATAAAATAGATCATTTATAAAAATATTAAATATCAGAGGGCCGAGGATTGAGCCCCTGAGCTATTCCTCTCGTGACGTCACTCCAGCTTAGCAACGACTACAGAATGGGACACGCGTGAAAAACGCAGTGCGCATGCGTGCTTTACCTGCTTCCGGCGCGAATTTGCCAGTCGAAATTATACGCGATACCAAAACAAACTAGATTCGGGCCGCGAAATTCAAAAAGTAAGCTCCACACACAAAAGATAAGCTTAGAATTTCACGAACACAAAGTTTATTAATTGCTTTTAGTTTCTCTTTTTGCACCACATACTTTCCTCCTTGCACCAAAGGCAAAAATTTTGTTTGAAAGTCCACGCTCGCTCTGGCAGCACTTCGCCGTAGCCATTGTTGCTGTTTTTGGTCATCATGTCGCTGAGCTCGGTCAATGCGAACAACGAAACGACCAATGCATGCTAAGTGGAAAAACAAGGACGGAAAAACCTCGTACTGGACGACTTTACCAGTTAGTTAAGTTAGTTTAAGTAATTTTTTGTTGTGCTTAATACTAGAACCGGCTGCAAACCATTAAACATATCAAACATTCCTGAGTCTTTTTCAATTTAAATGAGGAAGATTTTGCAAAGTTTAATTATTGAAAATAGAGACCTTGCGCATGCGCAGACGTTTTGCACGCGTGTCACAGAATGGTCTGCTGCGGTGACCGGAAGTAATTTTTCCCGCCACGTGTCAATGCCTCAAATAATTTGCATCTATTACAACGTTGCGTGAAGTTTTCATCATGGTCGAAGACTGAATGAATTATTAAATCTTTGGAAGATAGTTAGACTGGAAAAATTAAATCTCGCGCCGATGACAATTGCCAAAGTCTTAAAAGGGAAATTTGTTTATTCAAACCTGACTTGAGTGTCCGTCATGATCGATCGCCTGAACGTATTATTTTTACAACGAATCTTACGATTCAGACTAATATGGCGATATTTGAACCGTTTTAATAAGTGTTCGGCAGTTGATGTTTTCTTTAAAATTCTTGTTCGTGACATTAAGTCTCTTAAGTAGGTACCTACTTTGTCGAGAACGTATCCTGACAACGAAATCGTTTCTTGCCCTAATAAAAAATTAACAAACCGCTGTTTTTTAGTA